TATGATGGTCAAGCAGATCAGTTCTTAGGAAACTGACAGTCCGACAACAGTACATGAGATTTGATTATAGTGGTGAAGGTTTCGTGCAGGACCATCCACACTTTTTGAAGGGCCGAATACAGAGACCTGGTGCACTACGTGCCACAAGGTCCCGAAACGACCCTCCGCAGGTTTTGAATTTCGAGTTGTCCTACTCCTAGACCAGTTGCTGTAGAACCCATTCTGTCCTGCTATTTACCCATAGAAGAGTACTCACACTTTTCCCAAGGGTATTAGCACGTAAGGGAATGTAATGGATTCGACTGAATTCGAACTCGGCTCTCCGATTCCTCATTCCAAGCCGCTATCCATTACTCCACCGTGCCTCCTCTATATTAGGTTTCATTTAAGTGCACGCGGAGACCTACCAAACTCCATCTACAACATACTCGTTGACAATTCAAATATAATACCCTCATCCGCATGTAAAAAAAAACGCTAAAAAAGAAATGGTATCATTATTAATTAAAAAAAAGAGAAATAGCCAACATTCATTAACATCATCTAAGAAGACGGCCACACTGTGCTGACCGTGTTTGGAAAATAAAACATTTACATTATTAGAACTGTTATCCTCATCTTCACTGCCATATTCGCAAAGTTTCGGCCGTTGTACGCTCCGGCCTACTTCATTGGAATTTCGAATCAAACCCTTTATTTCGTCCACTGGGGTAGATTGTTCTAGTTCCACGTTCCATGCCTCTTCCGGATGTCTCAGTTATTTCCCTTTAACTGAACTCTCAAAATTTGGTTCACTACAGCTGTAGCCTGGTATTGAACTCATAATTTAGTCACTGTATCTAACCAACGTCTTTATCCACTGGGCCATGTATTGTGAATATGGAAATGAAAATGAATAATGTAAATAATCATAATACCTCATCTCAGAGATATAGACAGATATTACTATAACTCTATATACATACATAAAAATATATACACACTCAGTTGAAAGTAAAAAAAATAAAATCATTCTTGATAATGGCTAAAAGAATAGCCGAAAGCGCTCGGACATACACAAAATTTGATCAATTTCTACATAATTTATCTGTGGAAAAGAAAAATTATGAGAACACAAGAAAAATTAAATAAAAACTTAACCGCAGTAACTGGTCAGTGGTTTTTATCGAAACTTGCCTAAAAGTGGAATTGTTACACAAGTTTGCTACGGTTGCTATGGCGTTTGCCTCCTATCGTAACTGTTCGGGTTTCAGATCTCGGATGCGGATTGCTGATGAATCCCAAAGATAGGACGAATCAACCGTCCAGTGCCTTCTGCATTCTGTTGAGGTTTCTTTTAGACTCGGTGAATTACTTAATCATCTCAAATCCTCCGGTTTCTAATGCTCTGGATGGAGGGGCTTGGAGATAGTAGTCGTGGCTCTCGGAGGCACAGTCCTATGGGTAAAGGAAACTTGGATGAGTTCCACCACGGAATATGTGAACGAGCGGCGCAATATAGAGTTTAGTTCGCTACCTCTTCGTCACCGAGGCCTGTTAGTACAGTTGGTACGACGTTTGCTTGTCAATGTTCGGGTTTCAATTCTCGGTAGTGGATACGCACTGATAATGAGTCCCAAATATAGGACGAAACGGCCGTCCAGTGCTTTCTGCATTTTGTTGACGTTTCTTCTAGACTCGATGAATTACTTAATTATGATATATATATATATATATATATATATATATATATATATATAAAAGAAAGAACAGTAAGATAATCCGGTGTTCTTATAGATATTTTTATTTTTACAAAATAGTGCACAATGTAAATTTACAGAGCATTAATATTATAAATTAATTGATTTAAAATATGTTTTTTTTCGCTACACAGTTCTAACCATGTTTCAAAAATGGAAGCTAAAAGCCCCGAATTTAATTTTGTAATTAAATTAAAGACATTAGTTCCATTTTATCCTCAAGCGGATTTTGGAGTAACTTTTAAAATTACTTGGTTTTAAAGACACAGCTAAAACAAAATTCATGTTTCCAAGGTTACAGATAAATCTATTTTGCTAGACAAGGGGTGTCTGGGTGTTCAATATGTCTATATTTTAATGTATCAGTTATTGCTACGTTTTGGTAGTGGGTAGGGATGTATTTTTCAATGAAATCTAACATCCGTTAAAAGCGTGTCGTCTGGATTAAAAAAAAAAATTAAGACATTTTTTATGTTTATACATTCTTTTTAAAGATACAAATATTTAAGTAAATGCTCTGTTTATGGTTTTATTTGTATCTATAAAAAGAATGTGTAAACATAAAAAATGTCTTAAAATAATTGTCGGAATTTGTCCATTTCATAATGTATATATATATATATATATATATATATATATAGTGGAACTCGCTTGGAAAAAACTTGGAAAAAATAGGTATTTCGGCTCGTAGTAGAACAAACCATTATCCCAGGAAAAAAGAGGAGCAAAAAAAGAATAAACATGAAATTGAAGCGAAAACAATCGTCCAAAATCGTCCAGAATTCAAGCACAGAGGCCAAAGAAAAAAAAACCTCCAAAACGAGTAAAAGTAACTGAGTAAAGTACTCAATACACGAAGTAGAGCAAACGTAATATAAACCTAAAGTCGATCTGTTTAGGTGAAACCTAGGTAGGTTTACCTGGCTCTTTAGGTTTATATATATATATATATATATATATATATATATATATATATATTATAAATTAATTGATTTAAAATATGTTTTTTTTTAGCGGAAAAAACATATTTTAAATCAATTAATTTATAATATTAATGCTCTGTAAATTTACATCGAGCACTATTTTTGCAAAAAATAAAAAATATCTGTAAGAACACCGGATTATATATCTTATGTTATTTCTTTTTATTTATATATATATATATATATATTATATATATATATATATATATATATATATATATATATATATAGTTTTGTTTACAAAATTACACTAACCGTCAATTTAAGTTTAGTTTACAAAATTACACTACCCATCAATTTCTAATCCCATTTTTCCGTTCATTTCGTTGTTGGATGTGTTATCTGATGATCCGGAGTCCCTTAAAAAGGATTTTGGTGAAATGAAGTATTGTAATGGTACCTTAAAGTGGTCTGTTTTTCATCATATATATATATATATATATATATATATATTGACACTGAGGTCAACAACGAGTGACAACGGTCTGTTTTAGGGCTAAAGAGCTATTAGCTAAATTTTACGTTCAAGCATAAAAAGACCACCTGGTGTGGACCTCGGTGTCCACTTTTATATTTATATACGTTGTATCCCTGATATTGAGAACCACGACCAATAAATAGAACATAACCCCAAAATTATATTTTATATTAATTAATTCGATGAGATACTGATTGTAAGTTCAATCCCTGGGTCGAGCAGTGTGTACTTGGACTCAATGAAAACAGGCGAACAATAACTGAACAACACTAAAATAAGAACTAATGTAGCTAGGCATGGCCAGTGGAACGAGAACGGTTTATCTTTGTAGATTAAATAAAGGGTTCGGTTCGAAATTCCCTGTAGCCTACACGGGTCGACGTACACCTGATGATGGCCGGAGGGCACGAAAGGTTGTGATAACGGCAATAAAGATGATAAAGATCTCTCTCTCTCTCTCTCTTACTATCTTTATCTCTCGCTTTCTCTTTCTATCTTTCTTTCTCTCTATTTCTGTTCTTCCCCCTCTCTCTTTCTTTTTTCTATCTTTCTCCTTTTCTCTTTCTATCTTTCTCTCTTTCTCTCTCTATCTTTCATTCTCTTATTCTCTTTCTATCTTTCTCTCTCGTTTTCTCTTTCTATTTTTCTTCCTCTCTCTTTCTATCTTTCTCTCTTTGTTTCTATCTCTTTCTTTTCTATCACTCTCTCTTTCTATCTTCTCTCTTTCTATCTTTTTTCTCACTTTCTATCTTTCCCTCTCTCTTTCTGTTTCTCTTTCTATCTTTCTCTATCTCATTCTTTCTTTCTTTCTTTCTTTCTTTCTTTCTTTCTTTCTTTCTAACTTTTTTCTCTCTTTCTATCTTTCTATCTTTCCCTCTCTCTTTCTCTTTCTATCTTTCACTATCTCTCTCTATGCCATTAGCTAAGGCGGCTGATGGAGAAAAGTTTCAAAGGGTATGTATTTATTTCTATCTCTTTCTTTGCTTCTCATTATTTGTTTCAATCGCTCCCCCTCTCTCCTTTCTTTCTCACCTCCCCCTCTCTCCTTTCTTTCTCACCTCTCACTATCTCCTTTCTTTCTCAACTCCCCCTCTCTCTTTTCTTTCTCACCTTCCCCTCTCTCTTTTCTTTCTTTCTTTCACGTTTTATTTTCCGCTTCTATCTTTTATGCTGTTTTATATTTCTTTTTTTCCCTATATTTTTTCTGTTTCTACTTCACGCCATTTTGCTTTCTCTCACTTCCTTTCACTCGCTTTCTACCACCCACTTCTTCTCTCCTTACTCTGGCACCATTTTCTATCTCTCTCTCTCTCGTTTTTTCTTCTTTCTCTCTTTTTCTTCTCCTTCTCTTTTGCTTTTCATTTCTCTCAGTTCTCTCTCTCTCTTTCTCTCTCTTTCTCTTTTGATTTTCATTGCTCTCAGTTCTCTCTCTCTCTTTCTCTCTCTCTTTCTCCCCGCTCTTCGCTTCTTTCTATCTCTTTTTCTGTCTCCTACAGTTTCAAGACAGTACCTTTTAAGAGGAAGAAGAGGAGAGAATGACAGAGGGGCGAAGCATCAGAAACTGCCAAGAATAATGGCCAAGTTCCACTCGGAAGTTGTTCCTATAAAATCCAACCAGGCGAAAGGAGATGGTGGGGGGGGGGAGTCGCCGGTGACGTCATCACATGACATCATTACTGAATCTACATTCGACAGAGTCGCACGCGTGTCAGCCGTGACCTACCACATCTCTTACGCCAACTTTGGCAATGTCCCCGTCACGGGGACTTGGATGTCAAGTCTAGGGCAGGGGCTCTTTGC